CCCCATTGCTCACTCTGCTCCCTATACCCTGAACACACTGCCTGGTACATAGTAGCTGCTCAAAAAACATGTCTGTTGCGTGACATGAAATAACAGTGAATCACATCGTGAGAAGGTTAGTTCCTGATGATTTCTCTTCTAGTCTTTCTAATTCCTTCAAGAAGGAAGCCTTGGCTTGGTGTTCACAACTCTTAAACTCCTCTCTGGCACCCTCTTATCTTCCTAATGGCAAGAGAACAGACCAAGGGTTCAGACCCCGGGACAGGTGACTTACCTGGTACAGGGCCCTGCCTGTTCATTGATGTCTCTCGAGGAGCTTCAAAAAATACCAGTGCCCGAGGCCCACCTTCAGAGATTCTGGTTTCATCAGTCTGGAGTATAGACTTTAAATTGGGGTATAGTTGACTTACAATATTATATTAGTTTCAGATGTACAACATAGTGATTCAATATTTTTATAGATTATACTTCATATAAGGTTATGACAAAATATTGGCTATATTCTCTGTGCTATACGTCACATCCTTGTAACTTTTTTTTTATACCTAGTAGTTTGTACCCCTTTATCCCCTTCACCCATTTTGGCCCTCCCACCAGCCCTCTTCCCTCTGGTAACCACTAGTTTGTTATCTGTATCTCCACCCTGCCCCTGACATTTCTTTAAAATCAGCTGGGTAAACAACACGGTCCTACTATATGGCACAGGAGACTATATTCAACAACCTGTTATAAACCATCGTGGAAAAGAACTTTTAAAAGAATGTATATATATATATATATATATATATATATACCTGAATCGCTTTGCTGTACAGCAGAAATTAACACAACATTGCAAATCAACTATAATTCGATAAAAATGTTTTAAAAATCAGCTGGGGATTCTCATGTGCAGACTGGGTTAAGAATCACTGAGCTGCAGTTAATGGGACTTCCCTGGTGGTGCAGTGGTTAAGAATCCACCTGCCAATGCAGGGGACACAGGTTTGATCCCTGGTCCAGGAAGATCCCACATGCCGTGGAGCAACTAAGGCCATGTGCCACAACTACTGAAGCCCCCACACTCTAGGGCCCAAGTGCCACAACTACTGAGCCCACGTGCTGCAACTACTGAAGCCCGCATGCCTAGAGCCTGTGCTCGGCAACAAGAGAAGCCACCACAAGGAGAAGCCCGCGCACCACAAGGAAGAGTAGCCCCCGCTGGCCGCAACTAGAGAAAAAGCCCACGTGCAGCAAGGAAGACCCAACTCAGCCAAAAAATCACTGAGCTGCAGTTAATCACACTTTTTGTTGTTACTGTATCTAGTTTTATGGTTATTTTTGATCTATGACAAATGACTTCTGGAAGTGACCCAATGTTTCCTGTTTAAATACATCAGTGTGAGCAAAGGGAGTAGATCTTAAGAAACAAAAAGCACATAGTAATCTGAGCATGTGGCAGAATGCATGATTGATACATGTTATCAGGCACAAGTCCCACAGCTACAAAGTAACATTTTGGACCTGGGGAGTCTAGCTTCCAGTCTGTAACTGAACTGCTATATTAGGTTTCTATCGCCCTCTAGTGGTCCAGTTTATTTGCACCCAAAGGGAGGACTTCGTATTAATTCCCCTACCTTTCACCTTGTAGGTGGTTCAGCCCTCGGAGACTTTTTTTGGAACCCTCTTTCTGGCCTTCAGCACGTTTCCTGTACCTTCCCGTTTCCTGCCAGCCACAAATGTACACACAGCCACTCATAGCAGTATCGAATAAGACCAAGCTGGAGCAGAGCCTAGTGGGGTGTTGGAGACCTACCCCAGATTAACTTCAACTCAGAGCAGAGCTTGAATATCACACTGAGACACTTGTCTCTTATCCCATAGGCAGTGGGGAGCCATGCATGGTTTTGGAGCAGACCAAAACTATGTGCAACAAGGCATTTCCCCAGAAAAGGGCACTACACTGGACATTTGCAATTTTCTCCCTCCTAGCATCATTCTCCCTTATTTTTTTTTGCGGTACGCGGGCCTCTCACTGTTGTGGCCTCTCCCGTTGCGGAGCACAGGCTCCGGACGCGCAGGCTCAGCGGCCATGGCTCACCGGCCCAGCCGCTCCGCGGCACGTGGGATCGGGGCACGAACCCGTGTCCCCTGCATCGGCAGGCGGACTCTCAACCACTGTGCCACCAGGGAAGCCCCCATTCTCCCTTTTTTATTTTCTGGCAACAGTCCCTGATCTGAGGGCTCCCTCCAGTATAAGCCTGTAAGTCACCTTTGTGTGAATTTTTAAATGGCAGCCTTTCTGGGAGGATGCCAACTCATGACAGGCACAAAGCTTAAGAGAGGACTTTGACCCCCACTTGCTCCCTCTTCCCCCCAATCAGACTCACAGTCAGAGTGAGGCTCCCCACCCTCCACAGAGGAAGCACATGCCCAAGTCTGGCCAAAGGGCTGCATCCTTCTCGCTACCGGGATCGGTGGAGGCGGTTGCGAGAGGGCATGACCTAACACCAGCCAAGAGTGACTCTGGGAGCTTTCTTAAATTTTAATTGAGGTAAAATTCACATAACGTAAAACTAACCATGAACCGTATTAAAGTGTACGATTCAGGGGCATCTAGAACCTTCCCAGTGTTGTGTAACCATCACTTCTATCTAGTTTTCCAAGACCTATTCTTCACCCCGAAAGGAAACCCTATACCCATTAATAGTCACTCCCCATTCCCTCCTCTCAGCCCCTAGCAACCACTAATCTGCTTTTGCCCTCCCTTATGGATTTGCCTGTTCCAGACATTTCATATACGTGAAATCATAGAATATGTGCCCTTAGTGTCTGGATTTTCACCGAGTGTAATGTTTTCAAGCTTCATCCATATTGTGTCATGTGTCAGAGCGTCATTCCTTTTTAAGGAGGAATACTATTCCATTGTATGAATGCACCACTTTTGTTTATCCATTGATGGACATTCAGGTTGTTTCCACCTGTTGGTTCTTATCAACAGTGCTGCTATGAACATTTCTGTATGCATACTTGTTTGAATACCTGTTTTCAATTCTTTGGGGTATATGTCTAGGAGTGGAACGGATGGATCACATGGTGATTCTATGTTTAACTTGTTAAGGAACCAGTAAACTATTTTCCACCACAGCGGTACCATTTCACATTCCTACCAGCACATCACAAGGGTTCCAATTTCTCCATGTTTTCATCAGCACTTATCTACTGCCTTTAAAAAATATTATGGCCAACTTAGTGGGTGTGAAGTGATATTTGTGGTTTTGATTTGCATTTCCCTAATGATTAATGATGTTGAGCATCTTTTCATGTGCTCTTGGAGCTTTCGTGTATACTTTTCTACTTGGAAGGCTAGAAGCCTAGTGGCAGCCACCTCCTACCCATGAAGCAGACCAGAGGGATGGAGGGAACCTGGCCCTGGTGACATCATTTGAAGCCTAGATCCAGCCACACCTGCAGCAGGCCAACTTCAAAGGTATATATGCTGATTATCCTTTTGTCATTCCAGCCAGCTAGAGTTGAACATTTTGTCCTTTGCCACCCAGAGTCCTCCATGATGGAGACTGGGACTTGCCAAGGTCCCATGGTTAGTTAGAATTACACACTGGATGAGTACCTAGACCTCCTTCCTACCTGCCCACTGCCTCCATGCCCCAAGAGGAGGCTGTAAGGAGGAGTCAGCAGGGGCCAGGAGATAGAAGCTGGGGACAAATCATGGCCATGTATTTACGGATAGAGGCAAGAGGATTAGGAAGCAGATGCTTTTCTATCCACCTGCCCCCAGAAGAGTTTGAATTGAGATTCTTAACTATCAGAGTGTCAGATGCCCTTTAGAGAATATCATGGAAGCACAGCTGCTCTCCCCACCAGAAACACCAGGACACAACATTTTGCAGACAATTCACAAGTCTGTAGAAATTCCCTCCGTCTCCACCCCCTCCTCCCACCACAATCCATCCTGAGGCCATAGGTGAAGAAATTCTGGTTTCTAGAACAAGAAAGTCAGAAAGACCCAGAAGGAGGAGACCTGAGATCCAAATACAGTCTTTCTTCTGACTCACTGTGGAGCAAGGAGTTTGGGGGAAGGACAGTCCTGGCTCAAGTCCAGGCTGTGGGGGCCTGGGCAAGTTGCTTGCCCTCTCTGAGCCACATCTATAAAATGAAACTATTCTTGTCTATCTGGAGGGGGGTGTCGAGGGTTATTAGGTTCAATGCTGTGTGTCAGGGACATGTAAATATGAGGGGCCCCTCTCCTTCCAATGTCCCCATCCCTCCAGCAGGCCAGATGGTCTTGCTTCTTCTCCTTTTGGAGTGATGCAGTCCAGGGGCTTAGATAACATGCCCAGAAACCCATCTTCTGCAGAGAACGTCAAGTGGTTCATGGATACAAAATCCGTCCCGGCCCCCCAGGTTAAGAACCTCTTACTCTGAACTCTCTCTCATTTACTAAGCTCCAACAGCAGCTTCCTTTCTGTTGTTCCACTTCATTCCCACCCCAAAAGTTTCACACCTGCCATTCCCTCTGCCCAGAATGGTCTTGCCCAGTTCTTGGAATGGCTGGTTTCCTTGTTATTGAGGGCTCAGCTGGAAAGTGCGCTCCCCACTGATCATCCATTTGAAATGGGCGCTCCCCACCCCATGGTCTTGAGAACATCACCATGCCTTATCTTTTTTGCAGCACCCCTCAGTGCCTTGGTTATGTGTCTTTTTATTTATCTAATGTTGTCTCCTCACTAGGGGAGGGACTTGGCATGTCTTTGTTGTCATATATCCCCAAGGACTAGTGTCAAACATATAGTAGGAACTCAAGATATATTTGTTGAAGAGATGAATGACTGACTGACTGAATGAATGAATGAACAGGTGGGAAAATAGATGAACGGAGGGATGACTGAATGATCTGGATGGATAAATGAATAAATAGATGGCTAAATATGGATGGATGGATGAATGGATGGATAAATTACAGAATGAGTAGATGGACGGATGTTTGCCAGACTCCATGCTAAGCACTTTATATGTTATCTTGTTTTATCTACACAGAAATCCCAGGAAAGAAGGAATGTTTTACAGACATGGTCCTTGAACCTCAGAGGCAGGAAAAAATCGCTTACCCCGGATAATACAAGTAGGAGATGGTGGAGCAGAATTCGAACTTACATCTGCCTGACTCCAAGCCCTGGGCTCTTAACCGCCATGGAAATCACCCTCCCCTTCTCCCCTCGCTTTGAGAGCCTGTACCGGCCACTGCAGCTCCCGTACTGATGCCCGTGCCCCAACAGTACCCAAATCACCCAGTCCTGGCCTCCAAGTTGCTCTGCTGTCAACCCCACAACTCCATGGGAGCCGGTGTGAGCCCGTGTGAGGATCTGTGAGGTCTCTGCACGCATGTGTGAGTGTAGAATGAGGTGACTGGAAAACATGTCCCTTCTCTGGGATGCCCCCCAAGTACCAGTGACATTGCACAGCCAAAGACAGGTCCAAAGAGTCTCATAGTGACCGCCACTCTTCATAAGGTGCCCGGGGACCAAGCCCCAGCCTGAGGTCATTCCCAGTGGCTGCCACAGAATCACAGCACCAGGTCATCCAGCCTGGTCACGTGACAACAGTGAACCAGGAAGAGGAAGTGAAAGAGAACAGGGGCAGGTTGTGGAGGGGAGCTCTGCCAGGCAGCCGCCCAGGGTCATCAGACTACAGCACAGAGAGGCTGTGAAGTCCATCCCCTGCCTCAGGATGGGGCCACGGAGGACCAGGAGGATGGGGAAATGGAGCTGGAGGGTGGAACTGCGAGTGTCTCTCAGTCTCCCCATTCAGGTTTCTGTCCTCAGGACGCAGGTAGCTGGGTGGTCAAGAAGCTGGCGGACCTCAGCAGCTCTTGTTGTCATCACTGATCTCCACGTAGGGCAGCCCCATGGGCCAAGTGTCCCGAGGCCAGTAGCAGACTTTGAGAGTTTTGTCCGGCATCTCATACGTGGCATCCACCATGGCCATGATGACAATGCCATAGGGGAAGGTGATGCTGATGAGTACATGCCTATGTGACAGGGTGATGACGGGACAAGATGCCCCTGCAGCCAGCTTGATGCCCCCATCCCCACCTCTCCCTACCTCTCATGGATCCTGACCATCCCAAAGGACCTCCTGGACCTGATCTCCGGACTACACCGTCCCCCAACACACACAGACATACATACACACACACATCCCAGTATCTGTGCCTCCCCACCCTGCCCCCAGGCTCCTGCTCCAAGCTCTGGCATCTGAGAGTTTCTGCTGCTAAGGCCCAAGACCACAGGGCAAATGCTTACCAGATGCTGTGCAGGTAGGAGAAATTAATCCACTGCCAGAAACTGCAAAGCCAGCAGTCACTGATCCAGCTAGTAAACGCAAAAGCCCATGAAACCATGGTGACCTCAATTAGACGCCGAAGCTCCTTATTACTGGTCCTAGGGAGGGAAGGAGGGAGATCAGAGCCTGACTCAGCTAGCAGGGCCCAAAGGAGCTGACGGGAAACTCCTCCATCCAAGGAGATGAGGCTGGGAGGAGGGAAGGATCAAGGGGGCAAGCGGGGAGAGGGCCAGATCTGTGCTAACACTTGCTGAGCCCTTACAAGATGCCGGGTCCTCACAACAATGCTATTATTCCCATTTTGTAGGTGAGAAAACTGAGGCACGCGAGATTAAGTATGTCCCAGCCCCACCCCAAGGTTACACGGCTAGTAAGTGGGGTCTGATTCAGGTTTATCAGAATGCAGAACCCGCAACCAACAAGGCTTTCCGTGTTTGTGTTTTGGGGTGTAAGTGTGTGTGCCCCTGTGGGTCGGTGCATGAGAATTTATGTCTATGTGGCTATGAGAATATATGTCTGTGTGTGGGAGGGTGTATTCTCTGAGGCCATGTCTCAGGACAACTCAAGATTGGAATCTGTGTTTCCCAAACAGCAGAGCTAACCCACTGTCCCTTAGGAAACAGTTTATCAGGGATTAATGGGGCAGTAACTCCTTTATGGATAAAAGCACAAGCCCTGCCCGCTAGCCTGAAATGGGACAGTTTGAACACCAAAAAAAATCATCAGAATTGGTGAAATCTAAGGAATTCCCCAGTGGTGCAGTGGTTAGGACTCTGTGCTTCCACTTCAGGGGGCACAGGGTCGATCCCTGGTCAGGGAACTAAGATTCTGCATGCTGGGCAGTGTGGCCAAAAAAAAAAAAGAAAAAAGAAAAAAATTAAAATTAGTGAACTCTGAATAAAGTCTGTGATCTAGTTAACAGTATTGTCCCATTGTCAATTTCCTCCTTTTTGAGGCTGGACTGTGGTTACATCCGATGCTGCCATTGGGGGAGCAGGGGGGGCATCTGGGTAAAGGGTACACAGGACTCTGTACTATTTTTGCAACTTGCTCTGAGCCTCTAATTATTTCAAAATAAAAAGTTAAAAATATAGGATAGTGACTGCAATGGATTGAAACACTTCAGAGATATAAACACCCATGAGTTCATAATAATACTTAAAGAAAAAAACCAGTTCATTGGTCCTTACTAGAGATGGCTAAGGCATCCACTCATTGCTCTAGAAGTTGATTTTTAAAAGGGAAAGAATCAGTGCCCTATCCTGTCTTTCCTGTCCAAACTGTATTTCAAGGTGGATGAGCAAAAGTCCTTCTATCTGGATGGATGAACTCCAGATAATCAATGCAGAAGGAATAACAGCATCTGAAAATCACCCTTTTGCACCCTCTAATGAGATCACGGATGGAGACGGCATGAAACAGCTGCTGGAATCATTAGGGGAAAGGTCAGTAGGAAACTTCACAACGAAGGGTCTGGATGACAACATCCGAATCTACTGATCAATCTTAATGGCACTAAATGTGGGACAACCATTCATCATGGGGTCTTGATTGGCTGGAACAAGCAGCACCCAGTGCCACACATGAAATGAAGAAATTAAATGTAAGTCTAGATCTATTAATTTTCAGGAAATACAAAAATAAAAAAGAAAGAAGGAAAAAAGAAGAAAAAGAAAGAAAGAAAGAAGGAAAGAAAAAGAAAAAAAAGAAAGAAAGGAAGGAAGGAAGGAAGAAAAAGAAAGAAAGAAAGAAACCACAGCAATCAGTCGGCCAAATCCATAATGCAGGATGTTGTACAGGACAAACGATCGATTGAGTTTCTGTTATCAAATCAGAGGCATGAAGAAAGGGGGGGGGGGGAGGGGGGGGGGGGGAGGGAGGGAGGGAGGGACTGCTATGGAATAAAGAAGGTCTGAGAGACTGTGTTTGCCTGCTGATTTAAACAAGACCAGGTGTAAGAAGATGTCTTTGGGAAACTGAGGAAAGTTCAGTGCAAAATGGGTATTAGATGCTATTTTAAGGAAGGATCTTCTATTCGTCCCTCTAGATCCTTCCCTGCCTTTCTCCACTCTGCCCTGTGCCTCAGAGGGCAGCAGGGGCAGGGGAGCTAAGCTACGTGGACCTCGAAATAAATATTCCAACAGTATCCTCCATCCACCCTTTGGTTCCCTACTGGGGCTCCCCATTGGCCAACCCAACTGGAAACCATTGGGCAACCCAACTGGAAGCCCAAGGACAAGGGAGCCCCTGGATTTGGTCCACACAACCTCCCTGTGGGATTGGCTCGGGCTGGCTACAACCAACAACTGGAGGCCACAGCTCTTGCCAAGGAGACCCCCCTCTGCTAGCTCTCTCCTTCCAGATTCTTGCAATCACTCTCTCCCATCACTCCCCATCCCAGGTCTCCCGATGATCATAGAATCCCGCCGTTATTAACACAGAGCTTCTAAATGATCCCTAGTGATTTTCCTACAGTCTGCCCTCTCCTTTGTAAGGAAACGTTTTATTCAACTCTCCTCAAAGGGCCCCATTTGAGAGTCCCCTCTCTAGCCTGCTAAGACCTAGTATGGGCTAAAAATAATAATTCTTTATCAGGTGAGTGAAACCCTGAACAATGAATGGGTGACATTATATGAAATCTGGGGGGAACATAGAACGCAGGTCGGCAAAATGCTGATGTTTGCTGGGGCTGGTTAGTGGGCACACGGAGGTTTGTGATACAATGCTCTCCACTTCTGTGTGTGTTTGGGGGTTTTCAGAATAAAAGGGACAAACTCTGCAGTCAGAGACAACCTTAGGTTCAAATCCCGGTCCTGCCCCTATTTGGTGAATGATCTCGGGGAAGGGACATCACATCTTTAACACAGTGAGGTGTTGTGGGTTTTTTTGGCGGGGGTGGGGGGCGCGGTTCTTGGAAGGGAAAGGGGAGCCCCCTCCCTGGGCACCTGCAGCCACCACCCACTTTTTATATTCCTGGGCCACGATGCAGACGATGTGCAGGGCAATGCTGTTGAGGGCGTACGCGTTGATCATGGGCGTCAGGAAGGACAGGAAGGTACTGACCACGGTGGCGGTGATGACCAGGCAGATGTACTGGGGCCTGGGGAGAGAAGGGATCAGCCGTGGGGGGTGGTTGGGGGGTGTTCCTGTGGGGTTTAGGCAGAGCAATAGGGTGCTCTTGTCGCAAAGACGGATGAGAAAAGGGAAGCTCAGAAAATGGTCTTAAGACTCCCAGGTGGGCTCAGTAAAAGGTCTCAGGGGTCCCAGGAGGATCACATGAAATTTCCCAGGGAACCCAGGTGGGCACAGGCAGGGTCCAAAGGGGGTCCCGGGGTAGGGGATGGGTAGGATGACAAGGGGGTCTCAGGGAAGCTCAAGGGGGCTTAGTCAGGTCAGAAGAGGGTTCCAGAGCCCAGGTGAGTTCAGGCAAGGGATTCAGGTGAGCCGGGTGGGATTAAGGAAGGAACTACAGGGGTCCCAGTGGCTATTAGGAGAGGGGTCCTGGAAGGCTCAAGTGGGTCACACAGGGTCAGGAGAGAGATTCAGATGGGTCTTGAGGTCAAAAAAAAGGGCCCAGGAGGATCCAATGAAAGATTCCGGGCAACCCAGGTGACAGGCTCAGGGAAGAGGTCTGTGGGCCCCAGGTAAGCTTAGGCATGGGGTTCTGGGACCCCATAGTGGGTTCAGACAGGGTCTGGAGAAGGTCCCAGCTATCCAGGTGGGATCAGAGGAAGAATTCCAAATAAGCAGTAGGATAAGGGGAGGACTTCCAGGGGTCGCAAGTGCACTCAGAAGAGGGGCCCCTGGAAGTCCAGTTAGATCAGGCAGGGTCAGGAAAAAGTCCTGGGGTGTTGAGGGGAAGGATTCCAAACACCCCAAGAGGGCCTGGGCAGGGGACCCAGAGGATAGGTGGGCTCCAGCAAGATCGACAGAGGACCGGCCCTCGCCCCACCTGTTCTCCCCTAGGAAGGCAGGGAAGTAGCAGCGGGGCATCCATATGCTGTAGCCACTGGCCAGCAGCCACAGAATAGCGATCTCATCCAGCATCTGGCCCAGGAAGCTGAGTGTCATGTGAAAGTACATAGAGAACAGACCTGGAGCGAAAGACAAAGGCAGGTGGTCAAGGGAACTGTCCCTTCCCGCCCCCACTACCGTACTGTCCCAGCCCCCCACCTACCTACGACTGTGAAGAGGATGAAGGTGACATAAATGTAGCGGGAACGTTTCTGGACATATGGGTGCATCAGAAACATCATGAGAGGCCCAAAGATGAAGAAGGTGACATTGCTGAACTGGAGAAGGAAGGGGGAAATACGGGGAGGGGGTTGTCAGACAGAGGACGAGGAGGGGGGCTGCCCTTCGTCATTACCCAGTCGGTCACCTATCACCTTTCAGGCAGTTGATCAACCCAGGGTCTATCCATCTTTCAGCTGAACTTAACAACCAACCAGTCATCAGTAGATCCATAACTCCATCCATTATTCTATGGGTTCATTCATTCATTCAATGCATGTGGCAAAGTCTATCTACTAACTTTCCACATTTTCCTTTCGGCAATAGTGTTCCCCAAGTTTGAGCTGGGCGTCCAACTACTCAACGAAAGACTACATACCCCAGCCTTCCTTGCAGCTCACTGTGGCCTTGGGACCTGGTCTAGCCAATGGGATAGGAATGTAAATGAATCTGTTGCTTCCAGGTCAGTCCTTAAGAAGCAGCTTAAGGCTTGCACTCTACATCTCGTGGACTGAAATGCAAACTTGGTGGTCATGAGTTGGCCTTGGCCTTGTAGACAAGGAAAGACAATGTAATACCCTAGTGACTCGCTTCTAAAAACAGCAGGAAGCAGAAGTGAGGGGGCATGACTTCCACCCACAGGCTCCTGTGGAGCCTTCCATCAGGTGGCTTCCACCTGATGGTTGCCATCTCAGAGCACGAGACATTGGAGCTCTAGCCACCATGCAAGGAGATGGGGTACCCTTAAAGCTGCCATGCTGGAGAGACCATGTGGAGAGACCACAGAGAGATCGAGAGAGATGCTGGAGGAGCCCCAGCTGTTCCAGTCCCCAGAAGTTTGACTCTTCCCAGCCCAGCTACCACACACAGAAGTGAATGAAACTTCAGATGATACCAGTCCCCTTCCCCTCTTCAAGTCACACCAACAGTTGTCAAGTGGAACACAGATGAGCTGTCCCTGCCAAACCCTATCCAGATTACTGATTCATGAGCAAAAAGAAATAAATAAGTGGTCATTGTTTCAAGCCACTAAACTTTAGGGCGATTTGTTATGCAACATCAGCTAGCTGAGACAAAGAGGAAATATTACTGTGGGCTGGGGTAGGAGAGGAGAAAGGTGTATGGAGGCCAGCTGGCACCGCACAGCTATGCCTTGTCCAGAACCCCATGATTGCACAGCTATGTTGTCTGTGGATTAGTGATTTGCGTCCTTATAATTAGACATTCACAATGTTCTGGGGCCCAGGCAAGGTTTATTATTCCCAGAATCTTTTCTCATCCTCAAAACAACCCTGCCAGGTAGGTTGTGCATCACCACACCATAGAAGTAGATACTGATTCTCAGAGTGGTCCAATGGTCCAGCCCAGGTCACCCAGCCAGTAACTGGAGAATCCAGGATTTGAAGCGAGATCCCACGTGAGTTTCTTGAGACAAGAAGCAGAGTGCTGTTTATCACAGAAGCAGAAATTGCTTCATAGACCTCAATCAATGTTTGATAACAACACGATTCAGATAACTAACAATGACCACTAAGAATATGGCAGTTATGGCAGACAGCGGGAATTGAGCGCTCAACAACCATCCTCCCTTCTTCCTCCTTAACCAAACTGATTTGGTTCAGCATTAGGAAGACATATCCTTCTTGGGAGGCAAAGGGGAATAACAATGGGCACAAGCTAATCTGATTCTCTCCTTCTTCTATGTAACAAGGCCACCAAGCTAAAGACTACATTTCCCAGATTCCCTTGCAGCTCCACACAGCCGTGTGACTGAGTTCTGGCCAGTAAGACATGGGCACAAGACATAAGTACAGCTTCTAGGTTGTCTTCTTAAAGGGAAGGGGTGTGCCTTCCCCTCAATCCCTTTCTACTGGGATGCAGATGTGGTGGGATAGCTTCTTGAGCCGCACAAATGACAGCAATGGCCTAGAGATGGGAAAACAACCATATAGAAGGAGCCTGGATCTTTGGTACCCCAAAGCTCTCACACCAGCCCTGGGGAGCTTATAATTGGATGTTATGTAAGAGAGAAACAAATTTCTATCTTCATTAAACCATTATTATTTTGGGTCTCTGCTATAGCAGCTGGACTTATGTCTTAACTTATACATACCCCCTTCCTTCCTTGTTAAATAAACCAGAATTTTGTTCAGGCATCAGGAAGACACGGCTTTTAGGGAGGCAGGATTTGGCCCCAGGGCATAGATCATCCCTATTGCTAAGGATTGGTTAAGGAATGAATGTGTGGTATGATTCTGGCCAATGAAACGTGATGGAAGATCTGATGAGGGGCTTCTGGGAAAGTTCTCTTTACTGAAATCAGACTGAGTGAAAAGCCCTTTGGAGATTGTTGTGATGTTTCAGATGTGGCAGCCATTTTGCAACCATGAGGAAACAAGGTTGACAGCAAAAACAAATACTTGAGGACAGTGGTCTCAAACATTTTGGTTCCAAGACCTTCTTATATTCTTAAATATTACTGAGGACCCTGAAGAGCTTTTGCTTGTGTGAGTTACATCTATCAAGATTTACCTTATTAGAAACTAAAACCCCAAAACTTTCAAGACACGTGACTACACAAGCCCATATTCGTTTGGCCATCAGAAAGATGATGTCATCACACGTCATGCAGCCTCTGGAAGGTTCCATTGTACCCTCGTGAGAGAATCAGAGTGGGAAAAGGCAAATAATACCTTAATATTATTATGAAAATAATTTTGACCTTGAGGAAACCCTGAAAGGGTCTCAAGGACACCAAGCAGGGTGGCGCTTGGACAATATTTTGAGGACCACTTCTCCAGGGATAGCAGAGGAGAAAGATGGGAAGAACCGAGTAGCCTGATGATGTTGGGCTCTGAGTTAATCTATTCCGGAACCATCTACCTCCAACTTCCATTTAAAAAAAAAAAGATATTGTCCTTTCTATTTAAGCTGTTTTAGTTGGCTGTTTTGTTTGAAACCAAAGCATTCCAATGAACGACCTTTGGGATCCAAGTGGTGTGGGATTGGATACATGTTCCCTTGCTCATTAACCGTGGAGCCTTGAGAAGGTAACTTCAATCCCTTAACCTGCCATCTCTGCATTTCTGACATAGGCATAACACCACCTGCCTCTTCATGCTGTTGACCCAAAGGTCCCCAAGCCTCACTGGACTCATAAATACAATTAAGGTCACAAGAACATTTGCACCAGAATTTCAACGGCTCAAAGTCCCCAACTGCTGATGCAGGACTTTGATGCCCCTCGAAGCCTCCCCCAGATATGTTGGGGTCACAGTGAGTATCTCACATGGGCTCAGAAACAGGTGTTCTCATGGCCTCAATCCACCTGCCAATTTGAGGTCAACCAGCTTGCTCACTCAATGACACCCTTCCCTCCCCCCAAAGATCTTCCCCTTGTAAAGGTCTCCTAAATTGTCTGCATTCCATCTTAGAAAGTGAAGAGACAGCACCCTCTTAACTAGGATGCTCTGTTATTTTTCAGAACCCCAGTATTAATGATGCTGACTCAAAAATACAGGGCACAGTGGTGGGTGTGGGGGAAATCATTCACCTGATACAAGGTCAGCATCTACTAGCCTAGGTCCTGGGCACCTGTACAGGTTCCCAAGACAGGAGGCCTCCTGATTCCAGGAAAGTCCACAGCTCTCCTGGGGCAATGGGAGAACCAGCTCAAAGGTCACAGTCTGAGAACCCAGCCTTGGCAAACTGGTTCCCCAGCCCATGGTCCCACCTATGTCCTTGTTTTCCACGCCAAGTTCTCTGGTGTTTGTCAATGGACAGAGTCAAACGCATCTCCAGGAGGATCACCCAGTTCACAGTGGCTACCGCAGAACACGGAACACCCCCGACCTGCCCTGTCCGTATCATGAGACCCTACCCCACCGGAATAGACACCTATCCCAAAGCAGGATATCAGACTTTTCTTTGGTGAATTTGAAACTTGGAGCAGACACAAAGCCTGGGAGTCACCATAATTGTGTTGCACCGTTGGCAACTCTCTAAAGAGGCCCTGGGATATTGTCATGATGTTTAAAATACGGCAACCATCTTGCCACCCACGAGAAGACAAGGGTGAGGGAAAAAAAAGCAACTACTCGAGGGTAGTATTTGCCCTTCTTCTGAATCCTGCACACCTACCCTGGGTCACAGCTTTCCCAAAACAACTCATCTTTCCATTTTCTAAGATATTCCACAATATCTTTCTTTCTTTGTTTTGGTTTTTGCTTAATCTACCATTCTATTGCCTGAATCCAACAAACCCATCAGCAGTAGTAATTATTAGCTAGGGTTCTTTGGTAGCAAGCAACAGAAAATGATTCTGGTGAACTTACACTATAAATATAAATGTGTGTGTGGGAGGGGGTTACTTATTTAATAAACCAAATCATTCATTCATTCGTTCGTTCGTTCATTCATTCATTCATTATAGGGAGCTCATTAATCAAAGGAATTGCAGAAACCAGAACAGCTTTGACCCTCTAATGGACAGTCTCTTCAGGGGGCAATTTTGGGTATGAATGAAAACAACTGTGTCCAGTCCTCCTGTCCAAGCCCAAGCTTCAAATTCTGGAGAGTGTAGCCTGGGCCACATCCCACCCTTGGCCAGAGGAGGGGGACCACCTTGATTGACCATCCCACCGAGGCCATAACCAGGTGGTTGATGAAGGGAAAATGGGGCCATGGATACTGAATGGGCAAAACCCCAAACAACTCTGATGGTCCCTCTGTCTTCAAGCAAACGGCGGCCCTTGGGCAAATCAGGCATAGCCTGAAGATGCTGAGCCATCCAGCCTCCCAGACTGTTAAGCCTCCACTCAAAACACGTCCGCGACTCTCATCTATAAAGTCCAGATCCTTAAGCTTGGCTTATGTACTCCCTCCATGACTCACCTCTCTCCACCTTCAACTTTATAATCTGGGTGGAAGGATAACTCAGTTCTGAATGAGCCATCCTTTAACCTCCAGGAGTTCACACATACTGTTCCCACTGCCTGGAACACTCTCATTCCCACTCACCCCTCTTCGCCAGGCCAATTACTCCGCCTTTAACCTGGGC